AAAATATCTCTTAATCTAATCTACATAAGACTGAAGAGAAGCTTATTGGGTTTGTCCAATAGATGTGCAACACTAAACAAAATAATGTAATGGTTTGAATTAAAATTCATTGTTTTCTTCAGAGCACAGAAAAGTAATAAATCAATGCAGTAAATTACCCCTGTGCTGTGCTGTGAAATTAACAGCCATATACATGAAATAAAAATAAGAATTTACAGCCCTAATCAATCAATGTTTTCTTATTAACTCCATCATCTGTTTGTTTTATTTACCTTCTTCCACATACCTCTCACCCCAAAATAACGTACTCAGCTCAGGGCAGCTGTGGCAATCCCATGGGCTCGGCTGGGAGCCGGCCAGCCCAGGCACTCCACCAGCAGCTCTGCCCTCCTCCTCCTCTTCCTTCTCAGCCCCATCTCACGCCACCCACCAAGGAGCCCCATGCCCCCAAGCTCTGCCAAAGCAAGCCTGAGCCCTCCTCAGCATAGAAGCCAGGCTAAGAGGGAACCCCTGGCTCCCCCGGCAGCCACACCAGGGTTTAGGCTGACCCGTGGCTGCTGGAGGTGCCGAGCACCGGGAATGCTTCCATCGCTGCTGGGTGCATGATATGGATGGGAAACCAACGTGTGGGGGATGCCCTTCCCTGTGCTCATGTAACCTGGAGAGTCACTTCAGCTATTTGAAAAACGTGTTACCTATGCCCTTCACAAAACCGTGCCTTGCAATACCTCTTGCCCACTACAAAGAAAAATCCAGATTTGTTTTCTTGGACCTGCTAAACTTAGGCAGCTGTCTCCACCAATTTGCAGAACAAGTCTGCCTTATTCTCAAGCATGGATGATTTATGGTTTTGCACATGTGCTACTTTATTCACTTAGTGCTTATACCTACAAATATCAACTCACGAGATAAAAGTGCATGTTGAGGTGCAGGCTGATGTTCGACTGTATGTTAGAAAACAAAGACCTTCATGGGAGGTTGCCCACGCTGCGTTGGCAAGACCCACCCAGTTGCAATCATGTTCCCATCCTCCTGCCCTGGAGCACCCATACAAACCCCAAGCCCACAGGAGAGAGCCCCTGCCACCCACATGCACTCGCACTCCCGCAGCAGAGCCACCCCCGGAGAGAACATGGGTTGCCCAGGGTGGCTTTGGTGCCAAAGTCTTGCTCTCAGCAGCTTTTCAGCAGCCTTTGGCTCCTGCAGAAGCAACTCTTCCTCTCTCCACAATCTATACAGGAAATTGCAGATGATAATCCTGAAAGGTCTGAAGACTGCCTTCAAACAGATCCAAATGCATGTGACGTATGTACCTAAAATAGCCGCCCAGAGCTGTGCCAGTCTATAAAAATGTAGGAAGTGACAGGTTGTGTACTAAAAGGTTTCTTGTACCTACAGCCATGGCACACAAGGGGTATCATTCCTTCCACTATTCAGATAATACATTAATATTATTGAATTAAGATTGTAAAATTTGGCTGCAGTTAGTGTCCTGTATTAGAACCGGGAACAAAATGTGGAGTCCCTCATCCCTGCTTGGTGCCTTGATCAGATGGCAACACACGCAGTGGTACATGTGCCTCCAGAAATCTGCATGACTTGCATGAGCTATAGAGAGGCTGAAAGGGAGCTCCAGAGGAAGGCAAACACAGTCATTGCTGACCTCCAACGATCACTGAGGAGCACAAGACTGTGCAAAGGCAGAGAGGGACATGCCATGAGCGTGGTGCAACAACACTTGGGGCATTCCTCTTTGTGATGGCAAGGACCATCCAAAAAGAAGACAAGATTACTCACCTTGCCCAGGCTGCAGATAAAGTATTTTCCAACCAAAACAATTCTATGATTCTATGATTCTATGATTCTACGATTCTATGACCGCATTTTCTGGAATCAAGGGAGAAATGTCTGCAACACCACCCACACTCCCACCAGACACATGCCATAAGCTATAGAATCATAGAATTGTTTACGTTGGGAAAGACCCTTAAGATCATCAAGTCCAACCATTAACCTAGCACTGCCAAGTCCACCACTAAACCATACCCCTAAGCGCCACATCTACGCATCTTTTATGACGTGCCCTGTGCACTCTCTACACTTTGTAACAAACCCAACTTTGTCGGTACAAAGCACTCAGTCCTAAAGAAAGAGGGCACAGGAGGCCAAGGCTAGTCATGCCTTATTCTCCAGCAATAGTGGAAGATTTCTTGTTCCAATATAGACAGGTGATCTAAGGAAGTGATCTGTAAACCATGATCCATGCTTCTTCACAGTGGAGGAAGCCAAACTTCTCTTTCCCACCTGTTTTCCTGACCCTCTGAATAATCTGGGATTAGGGGATACTCATTTCTGTCTGTAAATCCAGTAAGAGGTTTAACCTTGAGCACATTAGCAAAGCCCAATCAGTCGAGCATTGGAGAAACTTCTTAGTATCCCAAGAGCATTCGTATGCTCCAGCCAACTCCCTGTCTCTAGTCATGGCCAACTTCTGCCACTTCATAGGAAAGGATGTAAAAAACGTGGGATGCTGCCTTCGTGTTGCCTCTCAGCACCTGATTAGTCACAGGAGCGAGATGTCAGTTTGTTGGCACTGTTTAAACTTCCAAAGAGACACAGAAAATAAAAGATCCCCTTTCTCACACACAACTGCTCTCCCCCGACAGCAGAAGCACGCTTGCTCAACCCACGTATGCGGCAATCGCTGCATATTTGGGTTCGTGTTAAATCGCATGTAGGGCTGCTGTGCAAAGCACAACGTGAGTTACTGCTGCGCTGAGTCCCAGCGAGCACACAGGGCCGGCATGCTACGAACCTCTTCTGTGCGCGCAGAAGCCATCCGTATAAAACAACTGGAGTGTAAATTGCTGTCTTTTAGACAAACTAGTGCACTGCAGGGAGACGGCTGAAAGGAGCCTGGCCAGAGACCCCTGGGGCACTCCCTAGGAAAATCCATTATGCTTTTATTCCTCAGACATCAGCATCCCATCGGGAGAAAGGCTCCCAAAATCAAGGCCAGGCAGGCAGAGCTCACTGCACATCAATACCTCCCAAGGGAGCACGAAATCCTTGTGTTCAAAATGACAAACCTCCTTTTTGGGACAAGGCACCTCCATGCACACACACTCCATCAGCCCCAGCATTTTCAAAGGCAAAAACAAACTAAAAGAGGCCGCCTTGCCCACCTCTCACTGCTCTGCGTGTGGCACCGAGGTGGATAGAAGGGGAGGGTTTATCCCCTCCATAACAAATCACAGCCAGCCACCAGCCAGGATGCTCACCCAGCGCAATGGGAGCCCCTCAGGAGTTGCCCAAGTAGCAACATTACTCATCTTGAAGCCTTTAAGTTCTCAGACAGCAATTTCCACAGTGCAAAATGAAGATGAACCATCTTCAGTGTTAACTGTGAGAATGAAGATCTCCTTGTTAGGGAAAAGTATCCCTGCCTGCTGCTCCAGCCCGACGAAAAGCCACCCGACAGGGTGTGCTACCCGGCCAGGGTGCTGCGGGGCTGCAGCGTGCCCGGCTCCGGTCCTCGTCATGGGCTCACCCCGGGCGCCGTGCGGATCAGCGGAGCTGTGCCGAGCAGGTTGCTCTGCAGGAGGAGCTGACGGGAGGGAAGCACAAGCATTAAACACTGCGGAGTCCTAACTCTGCCACTTTGCCAAGATGGGATTTATGGGGTGGGGAGGGGGAGAAGGGATGCAGATGGAAGAGCCATCTTCAGCCATTCCAAGTGTAAAAAAACAAGTGAGATATGTGCCTTAGGGCTCGGCAGATTGAACACAGCGATTATACATGCTCCGTGGTTCTTCACCTGGGCTTCTGCCTGAAAAGATCCTGACCCTTTCTTATGCCACACATTGCAATAGGATTGCCCAGCCAAATGTTCAAAACCTTTGAATCATTTTTCTACAACAAATTAAAAATGTTCCCTCTAAGGTCTATCCCTTCTGGTTTTCTAGCTGCAGCAGACATAAATAAACTTTAAAAAAACCCCAAAAAATCAAAACCCCAGAACAAAACCAGGAGCATTACAACCAGCATGAGAGCTGTGTGAATCCTCTGAACTATTTTGATAAAGAACAGCCTATGGCTGTGAAAGACACCCCCAACTCTCCAGCTCCAGCCCATGCTGGAGGGTGCCTGCCAGCCAGATGAGCGAGGAATGGCTGGGTACATGGCAGAGTGAGGACCACTTGTTACCAAGACCACGTAGGCACCCAGCAGAGCATCCATGACCCCAGGCTGCATCTCCTGGGGCGACTTTTTCATCCACCAGGGACCCAGGAGGGCTGGTTCAGCAAAGGCACCGAGGGCAGAGAGATGTGCAGGCCAGCTCTGCAGCGGGCGCAATGCTCCACCGCCAGCCAACAACAGCACTTTCACTTAAAACAACCACCATAGCTGCAACGCTGCACCCACAGGCTACATCCCCAGCTGATACAAATCAATGCAAACACATAGATTTTAATTTCTTTTTTGAAGGCCAGCGGGACTTTTAGGTCATCTAAACTGTCTTTTTGTGTAAAACAAGCTGTAGAATTACATCCAGCTACTGTAATGTGAAGCCTAACTACAGGTGCTGGACAACCATCGTGCCACATTTCAACGGTGCTACACCAGCTTACGAAGGTCAAAACTTCGCTCTGTAAACTGCAACAGCTTGAATGTGCTTCCTAGCATTGCTCTGCAGACTCAGCGTAGCAAAGTCTCATCCCTACAGACACAGGGAAGAGGCAACAGCCAGAAGCTATTTGGTGACCTACAGAAGAGCGATCGCTGCAGCAGCACATCTGCAGCACATCATCTGCCAGTGCGCTCGTGTACAGATGCAAAAGATGATGCTTTAGACACACACAAGATGTTTTATACACATAACTAACCAGAAAATAGAGATTTGGAAAGCAATGCAATGCCAGTGGATCCTGAAGGGGAGCAAGCTGATAAATACTTAACTTGCATTCTCCCACCACCCCAAGGCAGCAGAATTTTGTTACCTGTTTTGGGATTGATTACAAAGAAGTTCTGGGGATTTCCGCTTGTAATCCGGTAAGTCAGTTTTTCATTAGTGCTGGAGTCAGGGTCCTGGGCTTGGATCTGAATGACAGATACATCCTTTGGGGAGTTTTCCATGACGGCTGGGTAATAGATCGGTTCAGAAGTGAGAGGGGCATTGTCATTCACATCCTCCACTTCAATGTAGACTTCGATGGTAGTGTAGAGTGGGACGACACCATGATCAGTCGCATACACTGTCAACCAGTAGGATTTGGTTGTCTCTCGGTCAAGAATATCTGCTGTGTAGATAACTCCTGCAGAAAAACAGCAAGCAGAGGATCTCAGGAATAGGATCAATGAAATGTCACATCTGTTTTGGTTTGGCTGTAGTACAGAAATGTGTGTGTGTGTGTGTATATATATAAAAACAAATGCTCCAACTTTAGAAAAATTAAAGTTGTGCATAAAATGAAAACAGAAACTTGAACTCGGGCATTGCTTCCTGAACCCTGCTCAAAATCTCAACAACTTTAGAAAAATTAAAGTTGTGCATAAAAATGAAAACAGAAACTTGAACTCGGACATTGCTTCCTGAACCCTGCTCAAAATCTCAGTCCTTTGTCCCAAGAAATTCATGGGGGAGGTAAAAAGATGGCTCTTCATAAGTGTCCTAATGTCATAGCCAATTCTTTGCTGGGACTGCAGCTGGCAGAGTAACAGAGGAAACACCATCATTTTCTGCTGGTGATGCAAACTTGTATAAAACTTGGTAGAGCGGGATATCATCATTGACAATGAATTGCACGAGAGAAAGTGGCTTCTCTTTTCAAGCTCCTGCCAGTACCCTTGCTAAAGGAGAAAACCTAGGTGGCACTTTAAAATAAATCCATTCAAGTTCAGAAAATAGATGGTAAATTTAATAACAGGATCACTCATTGCACAATGCCAAAATCCTGGATTCCTGGAGCAATCAAAAGCTCACATAGTAGAAGCTCGTAGACAACCAGTATATCCTCTTTCACAACGGAGGAAGGAAGGAAGGGTTTGGCCACTTTACCTACTGGTAAAACATCAGCTGGTTTCCTACTTGGTCCTAAGAAACCACAAGAGAAACTGTGTTTGTGTATAACAGAGCTGTAGAGAGGCACAGCACCCACACCACTCCATCCAACCACCACCCCCATGCCCGCAGGATTCCTGCTATGCAGGACTTCCACCCACCTCATTTCTGCCTAAAGTGATTTAGAAATCCATTCCCCTCCTGACATGAACACCAAAACCACAACAACTTTTGTAAAAACAGATATAGGGCCCTTAAACCCGAAACACTTCCTAGCACTATAAGACCTGCACATATCAGCATAGTCCAAACCTTCACTGACTTGAGCACTGACCACGAATGCACAGAGGACCAAATAAACCAGTGCCACACACAACCACACCAGCATCAAAATAAGCAAACGCACTTTCCCACCACTTTTGCAACACATATACCAAGAACATTTTCCTCTCCTAATACAGCATTGTTAAATCTTGGAAACACATTAATACAGTGGATCCTAAGCTTGAGAAATACTAAAAAGGAGTTTGCAGACCATCAAGTCATGTCATTAGTAGATGGAAACTGGAGGAGAAGTTGCAGGGCAAGATAGGAACACAAGAAACCTGAATTTAGTCTCAGATGTGCTTCTTAGAGCCACATTATCAGTTAGTCATTGAGGAAAGAGGTGCTGTAAGATCAGCACTAACAAGGGATGTGCGTGGCTTTTTGGCTTTGGGGGTTTTTTAAGTAACAGACTGCACTGAAAGTTTCTATGATAGCCTGAAGTCTTAGAAAAGCTTTAAAGACACTGGAATAGGCAGAGAGGTGTTTCGGGCAGACTTTGGGCATTACTAAAGAAGGTGCAGGCTCTGTGCTCAGCCACTCTGCAGAGCATGGGCTGCCAAGAAGGGATCTTCCTCTCCAGTCCTACTGGCAATCCTTCTTAACGGGGTACGTAAAGTCCAGAGTAAATCATATGCATTATTCCTCAGCCTCAGTCTTACAAGTTATGCATCAAATCTGGCTTTTTAGATTATACCAGCAATTTAATCCCTTTATGACACTGGATTCAGACAAGACCTTTGGTCTAAAAGTTATCTGGCAAGTCTATTCCATTTCTTGAAGAGCAGCCATGAAAATGTCCTGAGACATCAGCAGAAGGAATAGGTTTCATGGCCTGATAGAGCTTCTGATATCTAACAATATGAACAGCCCTGGTGCAAACTTCCCCAGACATTTCACAGCAGAACACATTCTATGCTGAAGTTTACTGACAAACTTAATAAATTGCTTTTCCGAGGGGTAGTAGCAAGAGGCGAATGATGCAACTTCTGTCCTAAGGGATTACCACCCCTGGCATAAGCCCATCGAGTGAGAAGGGATGCTGCCTGTCCCCGGGGAGTCAGGCTGTGGTTCCCCGACCCAGCTCTGCTCTGGACAGGAGGCAGCACAGAACCCAGAACCCACCACACAGTTGCAGAGATGCCTGACGTACTTGCACTTGTCTTATAGGACACTTTTAAAAAACAAAAAATTCTAATTTTTTTTTTCAAGTTTGCAATTTTTTATTATATTTTTTAATGCTAGTTTGAACTGACAAGTATTTTCCTTTCATTTGATCAACAAAGGGACTTTTACAAGGGCATGTAGTGATAGGACAAGGAATAATGGCTTCAAACTGAAAGAGGGGAAATTTAGATTACGTATAAGGAAAAAATTCTTCCCTGTGAGGGTGGTGAGGCACTGGAACAGGTTGCCCAGAGAGGTTGTGGAGGCCTCATCCCTGGAAGTGTTGAAGGCCAGGTTGGATGGGGCTTTGGGCAAACTGGGCTAGTGGAGGGGGTCCCTGCCCC